GCCGAATGCGGTTACTGCTGGGTCGTATATTCGATCATTTGCCAGTTGCATAAATAAAACTAGACTCACTGCGTACTGATGAATTGGAGAAGGTGGAAAATTAAATTTATTGCCGAGACTCTAATTATGACTGCCAATTTTCATGCGAAAATAGAAAATTGTTAAAATAATAAAAATATTGTCAACTTGACAAATACACGGAAAAAATAATTTTGCTGAAAAATCTAAAATTTTATTGGATACAGATCTGAAAATAATTTTATGGTCCATTAAAATATTTATGTTAGAAACTAAAAAAATGATGATCATGCTCTACAAAATTTTAATCTTTTAGCAATTAGTTTGAATTTCCAACAAAATTATTTTCAGATCTGTATCCAACAAAATTTTAGATCTTCCAGCAAATTCTTTCTATGTAGGGGGAAAGAAATTACAAAATTACAATAATATTACAATAAATAGTATGTTTATCTTTAATGGATTTATTAGCAAAACATTAATCAACTAAATGTAAAAACAATATAAAAAAGTCAATCAATGTAAATATAAAACGTGAGAATTAAGAGAGAAAAGATTCGCGTTTAATAATTTTATATTTCACTAAATGTGCAACGCGTGTATTAAATGAGGCGGAATACGATAAATGTTTGAATATACAATAAATGTTTAAATACGTATATTGTACATTTGTTCGAATCTTTTTATATTTATCTTTGAATTAGCGGCTATAATATTGTGCTATTGCGACTCACGCAAGCGTCATACATGTTAATATAGACCGTCGTTGCTGAAAGCGAGCTTTCAACCCCTCGTTAAGCCTGCCTGCTTTATGAATCCGCCCAAGTTCCCGAAGAATCCGTCTTAGGGTGATCTTAGGCTTCTCGGTTGTCTCATCTTTTTTTCGTTTCTCTGCTTGTTGGCTTCCACCTCGATGAATCTGGAATCGTTATTTCTGCGTTTCGCATATTTGCCTTCAGCAGCAGCGTGTTTTTCACCGTATCGACCATGGTTCTTGAAATGTCCACTCCGACGCCCGTTGCTGTAGAAATCAGCGTCCTTCTTGAACTCGTCTTTGTGATAAACGTTGCGATATCCGGCGGTGTTATGAGCTTTCTCGTGACCATCTCTTGTCTCGTAGATAGCTCCCTTCTTTTTCGCAACTTCTTCTTTATGATTCTTCGCGCGATCCTCGTTTTCGGAATGGCCTTTACTCTCACCAGAGACTTCGGAGTACTCAACCTTTTCGTTCTCCTTTTTCGTGTCGCCCTTCGAACCTACCTCGAAGACGGCGAGGCTGTCGGTACCATGATCATCTCTCGCAACTTGCGTCTCATATTTTGACGCAGCGTAATGCGCATCGTTATCTTGATTAAATCTGTTGGATTTACCAGAGTTCCCGTCGTTCGTCGCCGAGGCTCGTAAGGTCGCACTTTTGCGATTCGGGCTGGTTTGCGGTTTCGCAAACGCAAGTTCCATATGGGTGACTCCAGGTGGCTTCACGCCCTTATAACCGACCGGCAACATTTCCGCTTCAGGTTCTATAATCAAGGGTAACAAGACCGGACTGATCTTTGCCTTCGTAACAATCGCTCTCATTGTCGATGGTCCCCTCTCCTCGAACTCTTCACTATCTTCGAGAATCTCGAACAAGTTAGTCGCAGATAGCTGCTTCTCGAAACCGTAGGCGTTAGATGTTGATTTTGGATTGAACGATCTCGAGCTGCTAATGTACATCTCGTTAGATCGGTCTCTCGACGGATGCGCGCAAACACAGAGCACAGTGCAAGCGGCGTACCATGCTGCATAGATCTTCATTTGTTTCGTGGATATCCCCGTTGCTTGGAAGCCCGGGTAGTCCAATCTAATTCACGAATTTACTCGAAATTATATTTATATATCTTCGTAGAGATAGATAGACTAGGTACAAGACAGTAACTTCTGATGTGGTAACGCGCCGGCATGCACTGTAACAATCGCGCAATAATACCAGCTCTTTTATATCGCTCGACAATCGTTCAGCCGAACCGAAGACCGATCATCGATTTCACATGGCCTTAGTGTATCTATCGTAGCGTATAGTCAATTCAAGATCAACGGCGGTTTACGGTACTAGTCGATCAGTGATGCAAATCGAACTCATGGGATTAGATTGCAGCTTCGGAGAGCATGAATGTTGTGAAATATAGACATTCTTGCAATTTGTACAAAAGGAATCGAATGCTTGGGAATTTTATTTTTTCAACCGAAAAAAATGAAATGACTGAGACTCAGATATTCTCTGTAGATTCGATTAATCGACGAGTAACTCTTCGAATTATTACGCAATTCCGTCGGGATATTGACTAATGTCGTGGTGAAAGAAAAACCGTTAATAATGCGCTCCGCATTTGAAGCACCGACGCGACCATGAAACTCTCCACGTCGCTAAATAGCGTGTCACTTACACGACGCGACAGAAGGATAACCGTGTCCTTCTGGCATGCGTATATAAAGTGATAACGTTGACGAACGGATATAACAGTGCCGGACAATTCGGCGACACGAGACGGTAACATTGTTATCCGGCGTGGTTACCGGGATGCGGGATTTGGTTAGCATGATTGCGAGTTTAGTGTTGGCCCTGCTGTTAGCTAATACACGCGGCGATGGTGCGTCATCGGCAAGGACAGCACACATGAAGGTCTCTAAGATGAGAATGACCGATCTGGAGACCTCGGCAAGCGGATACGCGTACAATCAGCAAGGGGGTCTTCCGGTCTTGTACATGCGGTATACCAATCACGGAAGCGGACGTTACTACCATGCACCGGCGGCAGTGCATTACATCGTTGGCAGTCCTGCACCTGTTGCGCCCACCGTTTCTGAAACTGCGTCGTCGCACGAATCCGTTCCGCTCGCGTATGCGACTGCGAAGCACGAAATTGCACCGTACGTAACGCGCCAGCCTTACCCGCGCGATGGATTCATTAATTATGGCGTGGGCCAATTAGCGAAATACGCGCAACCGCTTGAGCTGTCCCAACTGACTGCACGTGCGCCATACTATGTGCCTGACACATTTAAACCGCTTGAAACGGATAAAAATATCGACAAGAGAAGCGACAACGAGGAGAATGAGGACGATTATGACAGCGATGAGAACGACGACGGCGATAAAAAAGAGAAAAAAGGGCATGTGCCTGAGAATCGCGAAAAAGCAGTTGATTTTATAGCAACCCATCCTATTCACGGCCTCGACAACTCTCGTTCAGATATCGACGTTTCGTTTGAACACGGTGAAAAGTATTCGGCCGCGCAGAATTCCGCTCATGGAGAAAAGGGTGACAAAGGGTACAACAAACGAGTGGAATTTGACGTGGGTGAACGCGAACTGCATGATAAAGGCAGGCAACAAGGTGGATTTTTGCTTATTTTTTCTACAGACATTGATTTTCTCAATACACTTTTAAACATGTATGTTTTTGCATAAAATGTATTTACTCCGGGTGAGACTACTTTTTGCTGAATCTTTCAGAGCATTACGATACCGAAACTGGGCGCAAAAAAGAACACAGCGACGTAGCTGGAAATTATGGCCGCTACGATGAAACTGAGAATAGTGAGAAGGGTAGTAGTTATGGGCAGACGTCATACCACAAAAAGGGGCAAAAGACCAGCGGCTTTCATAAAGTCTACCACAAGGATGAATATAAAAAGCATACCGATTTCTATGATGAGAGCCACAAGAAAGGTTATTTCGACAAGCACTTCGTTGCTGACGAGCATCATAACGCTGCGGAAGGTGAATCCGAGAAAGGCAAACATCATGAATCCAAGTTTGATAATAGAAATAGTGGGAAAAAAGGATTTTATGACAATGGACATATACAGAATCGCGAACGGGGCTATAATAAAGAAAAAGGTGAAAATTCTTTTCATAATAATTATGAAAATTACGGCTCCGACGAAGGCACGCGTTTAACTAAGAAACACGGGTATGACAAAGTTGATTGATATTGTCGAACATGTATAATTTAAGGAAAATGTAATTTTATCTACTGTTATTTTATATTCATTGTCATTTATACCATGCAATAAAAAGAAAAAAAATTCTAATCGTATTTTTATGATACGGATTCTCGCTACGTATATTGAAAATGATGCTTTATATACGTATATATATAACGTTGCTTATAAATTATATTATTACATTATGGTTAGAATGATTATGGAAAATGTAATTAAGGTAATATTAACTTTGAGAAATAATGCAATTAACTATGTGGAACGATTTTATTAAATATCTAAAAATTTAACTATACTTACACATTAGAAAATAGTTTTGTTGGACTACAAAACAATTATATATGTCTTTCAAAATTGCTAGAATATCAAAATTCCTACATGATTATTCTGATGGTCCAATAAAATTATTTTCAGATTTATGTGTGTGTGTGTATCTAATTAAATTTTTTAATATTTTTTTAACAAAATTCTTCTATACTGTCATAATATTTTAGTAAAAACGTTCTGAGACCATCCTAATATTATTCCTTATACATATAATCATTTGTTTCTTGTGCTTTTTTTTCTTTAAAATATTAGAAATATTTGGCTAAATAATGAGCTCTATTCTTTTCTTTTTTTAACGTACTTTATAAATATTTTTTAGGGGAACAGAACTTATATTTTTATTTTAATTTTTTAAACATGTTAAAGTATATACAAGAATTACTTTTAGAGTAATTCTTACAGAGAACAATTTTTATATATTTATTATATATTTTATATATATAATTTTATATATTTATTATTAATACAAGAATAATTTTTATATATTTATAAAAGTAATGAAAATTAACCCGTGACACGAATGACTTATCATGTGCAATAAAGAGTTGGAAAATTATCATCGAGTTATATACGTAGAATTATGTTATATTTGTAGAAAAAATACCAGAGATCAATTCAAATATTATAATGTAGATAGTTAATATTAAAAATACAACTCCTAACCAGCACCTGATAAAACAAATATAAAACCGTGTCAATTGCACCACTGAATGCGGTAACTGGCCGGTACTATTGTTTTATGGAAATAGCATGTAACGAGCGGCCATATTTTCTTGTGACAGCTGTTACACCGCAGAAGCGTGACTGATGTAGCACAAAACATGAAACTCCACTGAATTATTACGACAGTTACCGATTTCGTAACACACGTTATGGTTGCAGAAATAACTCAAATTTCATTTTACGTCGAGTATACGTCTATAGCGTTATGAGGGTTTGATTAATACAGGCTATTGCACATTTTTTTTGCAGAAAACATATACGCAAAGAAAATTATGACTTAATAAATGCAGGTCGTATTTTGTAGTCAATTGACATAATACAATATGAGATAATATATAAACGATGTGTAATATATCTACTGGAAAAGATTTATTCTGTTTGTCGACATGTACAACAATTAATGCAGCGATGACAATCAATCAACGCAACTCAACGAGTAATAGCAGCTAAATTATAATTCTCCGCATGTCCGTATTAATGTCCTTTCTTGAATCCCCAGTGTTTATGGTCTTCATGGCCACCTTTCTTGCCATGATGATGATGATGATGATGATGCTCATCGTGTCCACCATGGCTTTTGTGACCCTTATGATCATGATGATGATGTCCTTTCTCATGATGACCCTTTTTGCCGTAATGATCTTCGTGATGATGGTGGTCATGATGCCCTTTCTTAAAGTGGCCACCTTTCTTATGTCCGTGTTCATGATGATGGCCACCATGTTCTTCGTGATGGCCATGATCATGATGTTCGTCGAAGAATTCCTTATCCTTCTTAAACTCGTCGAGTTTGTGAACGTCGTGATGTCCCTTCGTGCTGTGGCCCTTCTTGAAATCCCCTTTCTCATGGAATGCGTGACCCTTCTCTCCCTTCTCACCCTTGTGGTGTTCGCCATAATAGCCATCGTCATGATGATGATGCTTCTTATGACCTCCGTCCTCGTGATAATGTCCAGAATGGCCTCCTTTATCGTGATGTCCCTTTTCTCCTTTATCGTCATGATGCTCCGACTTGTAGCCTTTGTCACCTTTCCCGCCATGTTCGTGATGATGATCGGAATGATGCTCGCCTCCGTGGCCGCTCTCATGATGGTGATGAGAAGCGGCTACCTGCAGATCGTCGTAATGCGCCCTGCTGATCTCACGTGCAATAGTCACGTAATGGGAGGCGATACATACTGCCAACAGGCAGATCGCCACCAATCCGTTCATCACGCGTGTTGTGTTTGTGTTCTTGTTTGGTCCAATATCAATGAGAGATATTTGACTTCGTCGCTGTGATCGGTAGGTATGATTTAGCTAGTCGCCCCGCTCGGATTATATATTGATCGCAGAATCGATATGAGAGTAACCAGAGTTCTTTCTTGGATCTTAGATCGTTGCGAAAGTTAATGTCTCCTTAACCTGTTTAAATTGTAATGCGGATTTCAGTGAGCCCGCTACAATCGCTCGGGCTATTACATAATATCATTGAAATCGTTGCAGTGCTTACCAAACTACGTTTATAAAGTCTAAATAATGCATTTTTATCTTTTTTTTAGCCGAACGGTAATACGCTAATTTCCAATAACTTCAATTCAATGGGAGGAAATTTATATGATTAATATATTTGGAGATAAACGTAGAGATGTAGTATAAATGACCGGACATTACCATTGTGTGTTAGCGAGTAGTACAATTTTTAAAAAATAATACTTCGATTGACATCGGAAATAAATTGAACGGTTATGAATGAAAGACGGTAAATCGTCCTGCTGTGCTGCATCTCGTTCCACCGGTCGTCGATCGTTAAACTGGCAGATAGCTTTTATTTATTTATCAAAAAATTCTATATTAGCTTCATTATTTTAAATGCATCTAACACTCTCTCTCTCCCTCTCTGACGGACTATTATATTTAAATTAATTGGATTTCGAGGGTTGTAAATTTCCGTTATTTATTTTTAACAAAATGTTCAAAATTAATTGATATAATATTCTTTACGTCATTTAACAAAACGTTCGTTTTTTACTATTATGTTTGAAGTTTCAGTTTTGAAAAAATATTTCATAAAAATTTTACTGCATATGTGTGAAAGATAATATTTTTTCAAATATATACATTACATGTTCGTATATTACACGCATGTTGCAATTTGCTTAATATTTTTTAACAAGTTTTGATATAATTTTAATGTATAAATGATGTAACAATAACATAATTGCATATCTTTTAATTTGTTTTCTCTTGTTTCTCTCTTTTTTATTTTTCTATCAAGTTTATTAAGTAATTTGAGATTGACAATAGTTCTATATAATTAACAGCGCATTCAAGCAATAATATATAATACGAACAAATGTTTTACGAAATACGAGTGCTATATTGTGTCCGAACAAGAGCGAAGGAACGAAAGTGATTACGTACAAAGCATTGGTGGAACCGCAGGTATATAAGCTTTGCTTTAAAGATTGTTGGGCAGTCAATTGCACTTGTTGGTTCTACAGAGTTCCAACATGGCTAAATACGTAGGTTCATGTTTGTTTTTGGGATTGGCTGTGATATGCACAGTCATTGCCATATCTTCGGCGCGAGATGTCCGAAGTTTAAAAGGAGATTTGGAGACGGCTGATACTCATCACCATGGCCATGGCCATGGTGGCCATGGTGGCCATGGTGGCCATGGTGGCCATCATCACGAACATGGTGGAGGTCATGAGCATCATTCTCATCACCATGGAGAACACGGTGAAGAGGGTCATAAAGGCCATAAGGGACATCATCATCACGAAGAGGGAGAACATGGCGATCATGGTAAAGAACATCATGAGGGTCATCATGACGAGCATGGCGGTCATAAGAAAGGTCATCACGACGAACACGACGAGCACGGTCATCATCACGAGCACGAACACGGCCATAAAGAGTCGAAGTTCGGTCATGGAAAGGGTCATAAAAAGGGCGAAAAGACTCATGGCTATCATCACAAATCCCATAAAGATGAATTCCACAAGGAACATAAATTCTACGATGATTATCATAAGGGTGGCCATCATGAGAAGCATGGCGATCATCATGAACATCACCATGGCAAGGAAGGTCACCACAAGAAAGGCGGACATCATCATTCTGGTCATCATGAAGATCACCACGGTAAGAAGGGTCACCATGATAAAGGGCATTACGATGAAGATCACCATGGTCATCATGGCAAACATGGTCACGAAGAACACCATCATCACCACGAAGATCACGGAAAGAAGCATGAACATCATGGCGGCAAAAAGCATGGTTATTCGAGCGGCCATGGCGGCCATGGCGGCCATCACGGACATCACGGCCATCACGGGCATCATGGCCATCACGGTCACCACGGCCACCATCATCATCATTAACGATATAAAACTTGTCAATTTAGTGCGACACAAAAAGAATAAATTGTTGCACCATTTGTTTATTGTTCTTTCGTTGATTATTTTTAAGATGTCAAATAATAATGGATTTACTTCGTTACTGAAAAATTAAAATGCCCTATACCAACCATAACTGAATGCATTATTTCTTCTAATAACCCCTATATATTTATAACTGAAATTTTATAATGTTTATCTGAAATAATATATTTACTCTTATAATGTTTATCTGAAATAATATATTTACTATTTCTTATATCAAAACACGCGATATTGTATTTAGCTGTTATCAAATGAAATTATGCTTTTAATATACAAGCCTCATGAATACGAACTGCATTTTACTATTTTATTTATATCTATCTATAAAATATTTACCTAAATATCCTACATATTTATTATTATACTTTTATTAATGTTTTTACATTTAAAGATTAAATATTATCTAATGCACATATTAAAGAATTAAAAGTTTATCGAACATATAAATTTTTCTTTAAATAAATATATGACTAGGACAGGATAAACACATAGATAAGCATGAAACGTTAAGACACTTTAACATTCTGAAAAATACCTTATTAATGCACGCAGCATCGAGTCTTAACTGTATCTGGTCTTAACTAATGTTATGGAGATATTATATGAATATTTATATCAATATTATCTTTTATATCAAATTTAAATTTGAATATTTAATTAAATGTGAATATTTTGAAAGAATTAATGGAATATTAATAGTGTAACGTCAAGTTTTTCCGTGCACTGAAAATTAAAACCTATAAAATCGTTAAAATATTTTTTAATAATTTATAGAGATGTATAAAATGATATATGATAACCCATATTCTGTTGACTATAATAGATGTATATAAATCTGGATTAAATTATAAGAATAAAGATTCTCTCATAACTGTTTTAATAGAAATATTTATTTTAATTTTTTATATTTGGTTTTAAATTTATACAATAAAAGACAATATTGACACAGTGTAACTTTCTACCGTAGGTTCAGCGAACTATTGAAAATCAATAAAGGAAGTTTAATCAGTATCACGTAATTCCATTTATATAACTTTAAACAAGTGGTAAATTACAAAATAGAACAGACTTCATATAACTTACCGCAACGGAGGAAATGAAATGGAACTCCCCCACTCATCTTTTATTTATAAAAATATATACTTCTTCTTACAAAATTTGATGGCTCACTGCACCAGAATCGCAATATAAATAACACCCCACGAATCGCTGCATCATACAGCTTGCATTGCTAGAAAGCGCTTGGACGCTTTATTAAGAAGACTAGTCGCTAAGACGATTATTAATGTGACTAAAAGATTGAGTATTCAATATAATTGTTATCATGGTTTCACTACGTCGTGTATTACCACTAATAACAATTCTTGTAGCAATTTATATTGCCACTAATTGCGTGACCACCGCACGTGAAATTACCAGGAATCATTACGACGATCTTCAGGTAGCCGCCAGTCATCATGGCCATCATCATGAACATGGCGGCGGGGGGGAGCATCATTCCGGTCATCATCATGAACATGGCGATCATGGTCACAAGGGTTATAAGCATCACCATGATCACGGAAAAGGTGAGAAAGGACATCATCACAAAGAGGATCATCATGGACATCATGACGAGCACGGAGGACACAAGAAGCATCATCATCACGACGATGGTCATCATCATGAGCACCATCATGGTGAAAAGGGAGAGAAGGGTCATGAGTTCCACGAGAAAGGACACTATGGCAAAGGCCACAGCACTCATGGCCATCACGAGGTAAATAAGAAGGATGAGTACAAGAAGGATAAGGAATTCTTTGACGAACATCACGATCATGGTCACCATGATGGACACGGTGGAGATCATCACGAACATGGACATAAGAAGGGTGGTCACTTTAAGAAAGGACATCATGACCACCATCATCATGAGGGTCATCATGGTAAAAAAGGTCATCATGAGAAAGGCCATCATCATCATGATCATAAGGGACACAAAGGTCACCACGATGGTCATGAGCATCATCACCATCATCATCATCATGGCAAGAAGGGTGGTCATGAAGATCATAAGAAATGGGAATACAAGAAGGGACATTAAAACTTGTTACTACTCAAGAGATACCACCAGCTGCTTTTGAATTGGATTCTGTTACTCTTTCTCATTCCTATTACTCATATTATATAATAATCCAGTAATGTATCTGTGTTAATTGTTAATTGTGTATACGTTGTTGAAATAAAGTAACATATTTAACATATCTTTTTTATATTGCACGCAATTTCACGCAATTACACGTGTGATACGTATATATAATATCTATAGTTACAAGATTCTACTTCAGCCGAGCAAATAGTTAAAGAAATCCACGATTATTATATAAGGCTTAAAAATTGCTATTACCTATACCAGATTTCTTTAATATTAAAGCGTTCTGTGCAATAATTATCAAATTGCCAGAAACGTACTTTCTTAATTGAATAGACATATATGCGTTATTGATCGGCAAATTACGAGTACCGTAAATTATCAGCGTGCTTGGGATCTTCGCTTTTAATAAAAATTCCTACGCTCTAGCTATTTATCAAATTCCAATATTAATAAACAGCATTAAATTTGCCGTTGGTTATAACGCATTATCGGGCAGCGGTAAATAAAACGTATTCCCGCGGTAGTACGTATTAATATTTAGTTCAGCGAACACTGCCGAGGGTATCCTATAACTCGTCTAGAACGTTCATTATTAAAATAGAATTTAATTAAAAAGAAACTATAATTGTTATTGTCATATACGCGTGAAAATCGTATATAAGGTATACATAAAAAGCATTCTATAATTTTCAATTAATATTCGTTATTCATTAGCACA